CACAAGCTTTGCTGCTTTGTTTCATGGCAGGTTTTCAGTCTTATTCTAATTGGAATTTTCTGCTTGGATGCCTACAAAACCTACCAAGCGGAGATGAGATCAGAAGAAGGTGAGCAGATCAAATGAATTTGTAGAATTTGTGCTTGTTTTTGCTGCGGCTGTGCTGAGCAAGTGGGACAGACCTGGCATGAAAAAAAGCCAAAACCAGATGGGAGACCACCAAGCTAGTGGTGCGTTTCAAAAAAAATTTTTTTACCACAGGTTCGGTGGGTGTGGCTTGGTAGGCGTGCTTTGCGCACATGCACACATTTTGCGTGCGTGTTAAATGACTCACCTCCTGCCATCCTGCACTCTCCCTGTGGCTTCAGCAGCTGACGTGCAGCAATTTGTCGTGCCGCGCAAAACAGCTGCGCTTTGAAAGCAGGGAGTAAAAGTTATTATGGAAGGCCAGGAGGGCAGGTGGGCCCAACAGCAGAGCATCAGAGAGAACAGGTTCAGTCTGCGCTGCTCATTGGCGCTATCAGCTCAGCAGAACCAGGCCAAACCGGTAGAATACCACCACTGCACCAAGCGATGTCCGGAGCCACAAGAGACGTCCTTGTAATCTCCAAATATGGAATGAAATCTGATGACAGATTTTCCTGAAAGGTTGGAACAATGATTTAATCCTGGCTTCAAGCCGGGGAAAGAATGAGAGGGAAGTGTTTGGAGACGATGCAGATGTCTTGATTGATATTTAGTAGGTATAATTATAAATAAAAATGGATACTCTGTCATCTCTACCATCGTTACTCGATCTCTGCAACTTTAAGATCTGTGGACTTCAACTCCCAGAATTCCCCAGCTGTGAATTCAACCAGCTGCGCTGGCTGGGGAATTCTGGGAGTTGATGTCCATCATCATCTTCTTTTAACAACACCATTATCCCTTGTGGGTTGGAATTTGGGCAACTGAAAGAAGCTAGCTGAGTGTTTAATGGCCGGATGCCCTTCCTGTCACCAATGCGGAGTTTTGTTCAGCAGATATATTCTCATTGTGCCCAGAGGGAGAAATATCTGCCTCTATTTAGGATCGAACTCACATTTTCCTGATTGTGAGGCAACACACTATCGAAGGACATATGTTAGAAAGGCGTATAAAATAATCAAAATGCTGGCCCCGTCCCTACACCGGAAGACACATCCCTTGTTCACCTGCCTAATTTGGATTTTGACTTTTTTTTGACACTCCTGTGGTTGTTCTGAGGTCAAAACCCACTGGCCTCCTTTTCTACCAAATTGCTTTTCCTCTTCCCTTACAGACCCGGAGCGTCGGTGAATTTGCACGCTCACATGTCCAGTGGTGAAAATCCCACCTCAGGTCTCCAGCCTCTATATCGGCGTGTGCTCTCAGAGCTGAATCCATCTTTCCTGGAGAATCTGGATCTGTGATTTTAGATTATTTCTAGATTTAATTTACTGGAAAGACAAAATTAAAATGGTTTTGGATGCGATACAATAGGCTTCACATTTCCAGCGACTGAATATACATGCAGGAAAAAGTGAACATAGATGTCTTTTACTACTAAACATATCTATACTACTAAAATCCTTGTGTCTGTCAGTTTGTAACCTTCAATTGGGTGAAACAATGCATTGTCAAGCAACAATTTTTGAATTCATATATTTCAAAGGGGCTGATTTAAAGATTGTGTCCAAAATCTGGGACCCAGGACTTTTGTGGGGTTGAATTTTGGCAAAGCCGTGGCTACTTGCTGCATTCATGATTTCCAACAGGCCTCCCAGTTTCCCAAAAAAACAGTCATTGGGGAAGCCTGAAGGAAAATGAGTCGCTATTACTTCCAATTGTTTTTTTTTGTTTTCTTGCTTGTTTCTCTGTTTAGGGAAGGAAATCTATCTGAAACAATGACTCCATCGGTCATGGGTTGTCTCGTAGAACCCTAGACTCCCTGAATCAGGAGGTTATCTTAGAGGTCATCCAATCCAACCCCTGCAAAGTAGGATGCTTGGGAACATTGTTAACAAGTCCTATCTAGTTTCTGTTTGAAGAACTTCAGTGAAGGAAAACTCATCACTCTGTGTGGCTACTTGTTCCTCTAGCTCAGGGGTCTCCAATTAAGGCTTGTAGACTTCAACTCCCAGAATCCCTCAGCCAGCTATGTTGACTAAGGAATTCTGGGAGTCAGAGTTTACACGTCTTAAAGGAGCCAAGGTTGGAGACTCTTGCCTTAGCTGATGGCTCACAACCTTAGTAAATTCCTCCTGATTTCTAGGGTTTACCTCAGTGTAGCAACTTCAAGCTTCAACTCCCAGAATGCCACCAATCAGCCAGAATTCTGGGAATTGAAGTCCACGCATCTTAAAGGAGCTAAGGCTGAGAAACTTTGTACTGTCTCCTCACGTACAGAAACTATGAGTATGCACCTTTCAAAACTGGGCGTGGAAGTGTGCCCAAATTGAAGATTCAAGGGACCCTCGTGCAAATCAGATAAAGCGGAAGAGTTGAGCAAAATTCACCTCTGGTTGTATAATATTTTGCATTAATATTAAGGAATTCCAAGAGCATGAGATAGTTCGAAGCTACAGTGGAGCATGGATGTAAATTTGTATATTATTCATATTGAAAGGCACGTGATATAGAGTGAATGGCCTCTGTGTGAAGCAGTGGGTGTGAGGCCTGGGCTTGGCAGAACATCGGCCTGCACAATGTGTGCGAATTGTGTGTGTGTGTGCATTTTTGTACATGCAAAAAAGAGGTTTTCAAACTTTGGCAAGCAGTGCAATCACTTAAAAACGAGCCCGAAGAAATTTCCCCTGATGAAGAGATGAAATTGGATGGGTTGGAGTGAATTTTTGAACTTCTCTTTCATTTCTCCAAGAAATCTCATCAAGAGTCCAATTCACACAATTACTAAGGTGGTGAAAAGCTGGTCTAGAGAGCTAGATTTGATGAGCTGCCCAGGGTGACGCCAGGCACAACACGTAGAGATAGTCCTTGACTTACAATCTCTCATTTAGTGACTGTTCGAAGTTACAACACCCAGTGAAAGAAGTGACTTATTTTTTACACTACATGTGCATGGTCGTTTAATGACCCTGTAATCCCTTGTGGGGTGGAATCTAGGCAACTGAATGGATCTGAGTGTTTTAATGGCCGGATGCCCTTCCTGTTGCCAATGCAGAGGTTTTTTTCCAGCAGATATATTCTCATTGTGTGCCCAGAGAGAGAAATATCTGTCTCTACCTAGGATCGAACTCACAGCATCCTGATTGTGAGGCAAGAGCTCCACCTCTAGGCCAACACACCACTCACTACGAGTGCATGGTCACATGTTCAAATTTCGGATGCTTGGCAACCAGCTTGCATTTATGTCGGTTGCAGTGTTCACTGAACGACCTTGCCCAGAAAGGTTTAAAAGAAGGCAAAACTCATGTAACAACTGTCTTTCTTAGCAACGGAAATCTTGGGCCCAATTGTGGTCGTTAAGTCGAGGACTAGATGTAAAAAGGGAAACTGTACAGCTAGTCAAGTTGAACCTGGCAATTATGGTCTCATAAATGGTGAAAGTTTTAAAATGGGTTACCATTGCTAAGTGAGTTCGCCCCATTTTACGACTTTTCTTGCCAAGAATCACTGCAGTTGTTAAATGAATCACTGCAGTTGTTAAATGAATAACATGGTTGTTAACTGAGTCTGGTTTCCCCATAGACTTGGCTCGTGAGAAGATTGCAGAATAGGATCACATGACCTCCGGACACTGCAAATCGTTATAAATATGAGTCAGTTGCTGAGGGTTTGAATTTTGATCCCCTGACCAAAGGAATGCCACAACGGTCGTTAAGTGTGAAAAATGGCCATAAGTCACTTTTTTCAGGGCCATTGCAACTTTGAATGGTCACTAAACGAACTACTGTAAGTCGAGGACTACCTGTAGTTTATTTATTTATTTAATATTTATTTTTCACATTTTTGAACCGCCCACCTGCCTCAGAAAATAACTTAGGCCACTGAATCCACTCTGAATTTCTCATCTAAATTAATAATATTACCAAATTAGATGTTAGTTTGTTTTTACTGTTGAATTATGTGTAAATTCATTCCAGTCCAATTCCTTCCTTCCCATTTATAAAAACTGGCTGTAATACTTAACATTGCCACCAGACGGAGCCAACCCACAAGAAATAAGTCCTTGGTAGGGAATCTAATTTTGCCTGCAGATGCCAACTCTGAACACCAGGGGGCACCATTGATCATTGAAATTTTAGAATTAAGAGCTAGAAAAAACAATTTTTAATAAGATATTAGGAAAATATTCCCCTCTATCACTAATATTGTACCTGGTTAACGTAACTCAAAGGAACACTTGTTTACAAAAGCTGCAATACATGATCTAAATACAAGTAGTCCTCAACTTATGACCACAATGGAGCCCAAAATTAATGTTGCTAAGTGAGAAATTGGTTAAGGGAGTTTTGTCCCATTTTCTTGCCACATTTGTTCAGTGAATCACTGCAGTTGTTAAATTACTAACACGGTTGTTAAGTGTTGTTAACTGTTGCTGTTGTTGTTGCTTGTCAGAAGATTGTAAAATGGGGATCATGTGACCCTGGGACATTGCAATTGTCATAAATGTGAGTCAGCCGTCAAGCATCCAAATGTAAATGTTGCAACAATCATAAGAGTGAAAAATGGTTGTAAATCACTTTTTTCAATGCCGTTGTAACTTTGAACAGTCACTAAGCGAACTATCGTAAGTTGAGGACGACCCGTATGAGTCTTGGAAATTGTTTTTCCTGTGAACATGATTCTGACGTGATTTTATTTTAACGGGGTGGGAAAATTATATGATGCCACTTGTTGGTTGGCTCTTAACATACATTTCAGGTTTGAGCAACAGAAATGTGTAGGAAACGAGATTTTTTTTTTTTTTGCTATTTGCTAGATTTATTTCACATTAGGGCCTCTTGAGGCAAAGGGTTGTCACTAAATGGCTACTTTGGCTAAAATGAGTTTTTCCTGGCATCCTCACTCTTCATCGAGAAGTTTCTGGAAGAGAGAAGCAGAAAGGAAAAGCGTGAAAAAAACAAACCAAGAAAGCAGAAATCAATCACAATTCTTTATGACTATGAAATACACATACATATTTTTTTCTGTTGCAGGATCCCCTGGGAGTGGTGAAGGAGCTTTTGTTATTATGATTATTATTACTTTGTTGTTTTGCACGTAGACTAAGAGCTTCTGCACTGGAGACAAATTCCTTGTGTGTCTAATCATATGGGCAATAAATAATATTCTCTTCCGTTCCTTATTCTTTTCTTTTTTATTATTCTATTTCTATTCCTATTCCATATTTTTTATTCTATTCTGTTCTGTTCTGCTCTGCTCTGCTCTGCTCTGCTCTGCTCTGCTCTGCTCTGCTCTGCTCTATTCTATTCTATTCTATTCTATTCTATTCTATCCTCTTTTCTTCCCTTCTCTTCGATTCAGTTCCAGTACGTTAAAGAAAATTTAATTTTGGTGAGAGCGGAATATTAATCAATATTGCCTTGGGTTGCTATCTGTCCCACATTGTGGACCAAACCAGGAAACTAATTTCACAAAAAAGCTAAAAGCTCTATCTCTCTGTCTCCCATATCTCTCTATCTACCTATATCTTTATATTTATATTTATCTATTTCTATCTATCTATCTATCCCTCCCCATCTCTCTGTCTCTGTTTTTTTCTCTATAAATATCTATATATGTAATCTATCAAGCTATCATATATTTTTTCTTTCTATATTTCTACTAATCCTATCTCTTTCTATATCTATATCATATCTTTCTATATCTGTCTATCTATCTATCTATCTATCTACCTATCTATCTATCTATCTATCTATCTATCTATCTATCTATCTATCATATCATATCTATCTTTCTATATCTATCCGTCTATCCATCCATACATCTATCCATCTATCAATCATATCTTTCTATCTCTCTCTATCCATCCATCTATCTATCTGATCTATCTATCTATCTATCTATCTATCTATCTATCTATCTATCTATCTATCTATCTATCTATCTATCTGTCTGTCTATTCTATCTAATCTATCTATCTAACCTATTTAATCTCTCTCTCTCTCTCTCTCTCTCTATCTGATCTATCTATCTATCTATCTATCTATCTATCTATCTATCTATCTATCTATCTATCTATCTATCTATCTATCTATCTATCTATATCTACCTAGTCTATTATCCCTCCCTGTCTCTCTGTTTCTGTCTTTCTCTACAAATATCTATTATCTGTATCTATCATCTATCTATCATCTCTTTCTGTCCGCCCTGTGCATCATCCATTTGTCCATTCCATCTCTCTCTTTCTTTATCTCTCCCCACTCCCCCCATCTCTATCTACCTGATTAGGAGGAGCAGTTTTGACTTACGTCAAAACCCAAATAAGGCCCAGAAAGAGCCTGTTTTCAAGCATTTGCCAGTCCTGTCGTTCCCCTTCTGAGCTCCCAAAATAAGAACTCACCTTTCCTCCCACGTCACGACTTTTGGCCTTCAGCTTGTTGATCTGGGACTCTGCGATGTCCGCCCTCTCCTCGGCTTCGTCCAACTCATGCTGGACCTTCCGGAATTTGGCCAGGTTGGTGTTCGCCTGCTCCTCCTGGGAAGGGAGTAGAACAGGAATTGAGGAACGCTCGTGGATTGCAAAGCCCTCCCATCATTGTTCTTGTGTGAATGCTACCCTCCCATCTCTTCGTTTGGAATCCACTGTCCAGTTGTGGACACGACACTGCAGAAGGGACGGGAGAGAGACCAAGTTCTCGCCACGTGGTGTGGAAACTGAAGTCCCGTGAAGGATCGGTTGAAGGGTCTCGATATGACGAGAAGAGACAGAAGAGCAGTTGTCAAATAATAGTAACAGAGTTGGAAGGCACCTCAGAGGTTAACTAGTCCAACCCCCTCCTCTCTATGCACAATTTCTGATAAATGACTGTCTAATCTCTTCCTAAGAACTTCCAGTGATGGAGCAGCCGCAACTTCTGGAAGGAAGTTGTTCCACAGATTAATTGCTCTAACTTAGAACTTCTCCTTAGTTCTAAGTTGCTTCTCTTCTTGATTCATGTCCACCTTTTTCTTCTTGTCCTGCCTTGAGGTGCTTTGGAGAATAGGCGGACCCCCCTCTTCTTTGGGGCAGACCCCCAAATATTGGAAGACTGCCGTCAAGTCATCCCTGGTCCTTCTTTTCACTAGACTGATCCAGTTCCTACAATCGTTCTTTGTATGTTTTAGCTTCTAGGCCCCCCTCATCGTTTTTGTTATGACCATGATGGCATTTACAGCTTGACTTCAGAAGTTGTGGGTACTTCATCCCTGGAGGTTTTTAAGAAGAGGTTGGACAACCAGTTTGTCTCTGGGATGGTAGAGGGTCTCCTGCCTGAGCAAGAGGCTGGATTAGAAGACCTCCAAATTCCCTTCCAGCTTATTCAATTCTAATTCTATTCCTATTCTATTCCTATTCCTATTCTATTCTATTCTATTCTATTCTATTCTATTCTATTCTATTCTATTCTATTCTATTCTATTCTTATTCCAATCTTCTACTCTACTCTACTCTACTCTACTCTACTCTACTCTATTCTATTCTATTCTATTCTATTCTATTCTATTCTATTCTATTCTATTCTATTCTATTCTATTCTAATTCTATTCCTATTCTATTCCAATTCTATTCTGTTCTATTCTATTCTATTCTATTCTATTCTAATTCTAATTCTAATTCTATTCTAATTCTATTCTATTCTTATTCTATTCTATATTTTTTTCTCTTCTCTTCTCTTCTCTTCTCTTCTCTTCTCTTCTCTTCTCTTCTCTTCTCTTCTCTTCCCTTCGCTTCCCTTCCCTTATCCCACAGGTCCCCAAACTTGGCAATTTTAAGTCTTGTGGACTTTAACTCCCAGAATTCCTCAGCAAGCTATGCTGGCTGGAGAGTTCTGAGAGTTGGTCCACAAGTCTTAAAGTTGCCAAATTTGGAAACTTCTGCCTTATCCTATCCTATCCTATCCTATCCTATCCTATCCTATCCTATCCTATCCTATCCTATCCTATCCTTGCAAATCAGGTTGGTTCCATCCTCAACCTGATTTGATGGCCTATCTTTAGTCGTAAAGATTAGGTATTTCTTAATGGTTCCCCGCCATGATTTAAAAATAAAATCAGTTAGCCGGAAAAGATGCTATTGGACTCCTTTCCAGATATGAACACGGCTTTCCTCCAACTTCAAAGAATACCTCCCACAAATGAGATGGAACCATAAATACAGATAATCCTCGCATTAGAACCACAAATGTCTGAGCCAGAAATGTCTACTGTTAAGCAGGGCAGTTGTTAAGTGAATTTCCCTCCATTTTATGACCTTTCTTGCCACCGTCATTAAGTGAATCTGGCTTCCCTGTTGACTCTGCTTGTCAGAAGATCACAAAAGGGAAATCATACAGCTCCAGGGATCCTGCAACCGTCGTAAGTACGAGTCAGTTGCCAAGCATCTGAATTTGGATCGTGGGACCGTGCATGGAGATAATGCAACGGTCGTAAGCATGAAAAATGGACACAAGTCCCCCTTTTTTTTTCCAGGGCCGCTGCGTCTTCAAACACTCACAGAGCGAACCGTCGTCAGTCAAGGACTGCCTGTTAAAAGGAACCATTCTTTTCTCGTTTACTTTGCCTGATCCTGCGCGGTTTCAATCCAAGGTTATCCAGGGCTTAAAGGGATCATGCCAAGCCATTTAAAGTCTTGTAAAAGCTTTAAGATTGACAAAATCTCTCGGCTACCTGCTGACTTTGAAAATTGCCGGCTTGGCTGATCGGAAAAAAATAATAATAATCAAAGCATCAGGTGAACTTAAGCTAAGCAGTTTTACTAAGTGGAGAAACTCTTTTGCAAATAGGAAAATCTATCACCTATCACTGCTGTCTGCCTGCCTGTCCTATCATCCATTTGTCCATTCCGTCTCTCCCTATCTCTCTCCCTTTCTCTTTCTCTCTCTCCCTTTTTCTATATCTCTTCCTTTCTCTATATCTCTCTTTCTCAATCTCTCCCTTTCTCTATATTTCTTTCCCTTTCTCTATATCTCTCTATCTTTCTCCCTCTTCCATTTTCTCTCTTTCTCAATCTCTTCATTTTTCTATCTCTCTCCCTTTCTTTATCTCTCTCTCTCCCTTTCCCTCTCTCCCCCTTTCTTTATCTCTCTCCCCCTTTCTCTCTTTCTCTCCCTTTCTCTCTCTCTCTCTCTCCCCTATCATCCACCCCCTCAATCTCTATCTACCTGATAGGAATAAGTAGAGAGTAAGTCAAAAGATAAAATACGTCCAGGAAAGAGGCCATTATCAACCATTTGCTAATTCTGCCTTTCCTCCTCTTAGCCTAGACTTACGACCACAAGGGAGCCCAAAATTTCTGTCGCTGTGCAAGACAGTTGTGAAATAAGCACTGTCCCATTTCACGATCTTTCTTGTCGCCGTTGTTAAGTGAATCTCCACCGTGGTTGAGTTAGCCATAGGGTTGTTAAATGAATCGGGCCTCCCCGTTGATTTCGCTCATCAGTAGAGTTGCAAAAGGGGATCACGTGACACCCCCCCCCCCCAGGATATAAACTGTCATAAATACGAGTCAGTGGCCAAGAGTCTGAATTTTGATCCCACGGTTATGGGATGGTGGTCGTAAGCCTGAATAACGTCCCTACGTCACACTTTCTCCAGTCCCATTTTAACTTCGAACGGGTCACTAAACAAATTGCTGTAAGACGAGGACTGTCTTTCGCTGGGAAACTCACCGCTTCTTCAGCTTGTCTCTTGTAAGCCTTCACTTTGGTCTGCAATTTGTCTACCAGGTCTTGAAGTCTCAGCAGATTTTTCTTGTCCTCTTCGGTCTACAGATGAAGGGAAAAAAGGAGAAGGGGTAGCCGGAGGTTAGAGCCATCATTATCCATGTACCTCTCCTTCTCTTTGAGAGAATGGTTTGGCTGGATGTCTGAATCCTATCCTCCATGGGTGTGGTTTCAAAAGGCCGTCAAAATGGTTTGCCAAAAACTAAAAATGAATTTGGGGTGAGTGGGTGGGGGGAGTTGTTTCCTTGCAGGTATCTCACGAACCAGCTAGGTATCCGCATCAGCGTTAGAAGGGGTAGGTGTCAACTAAAAAAAAATACTTCTTTGGTTTTTGTAGTTGTCAGTCAAATGGGAGGGGGCAAAACAGCGCATTCCTTAAATGCTTCGGATAATTGCTTGGGCAATCGAAGCTTCTGGCGTGCAAGATTATTACTGGAGAGCCTGATTGACGACTCTTGGCTATGGATGTGTCCCATTGGAGAATATACATCGGGGTGGGTGGGGGAGAACAGGGTCAAGGGGGAAAGGAATGATGTGTCTCGGAGTCGGCTACATCCAGGTGATGCCAACATGTCAGCTCCTAATAAATTAATCATTTTTAGGTGCGGCTAGAGACTTATGATTTGAATGGGGGTGCGTGTCAGAGTCCTGACAGTAGGGTTTATGGAGAGGAAGGGGAAGGGAAGGAGGAGGAGGAAGAACGTGGGTTCCTTGATGCTGTCTGAGCTGGGTGGTTTTGTTGCAGACGTTTCATGACCCAACTAGGTAATATCATCAGTGCTAGAAGGGAGTAGGGCTTGTGGAGCAGAGGAGAAGGGGAGAGGAGGAAGAGCAAAAGGTGATGGAGGAGGAGGAGGAGGAGGAGACAAGGGGGAGGAAGAGGAGGGGGAGGAAGAGGAAGTGGAGGACTTGGGATCCTTGGTGGTTTCTGAGCTTGGGTTGTTTTCTTGCAGATTTTTCATGACCCAACTAGGTAACAAGAGGTGGTATTCAGCAGGTTCTGACCAGTTCTGGAGAACCAGCAGTGGAAATTTTGAATAGTTTGGAGAACCAGCCAATACTGCCTCTGACTGGCCCCGCCCACATCTATTCTCCGCCTCCCAAGTCCCAGCTGATTGGCTGGGTCTTCTTTGGTTGCCCTGCACAGGAGAACGGAGCTGGAAAGCAGGTTAATGGGGTGGGGAGGGAATGGAGATTTTGCTGTATCCTTCCCCTGCCATGCCCACCAAGCCACGCCCATGGAATCAGTAAATTTGTTTGAATCCCACCACTGTAGGTAACATCATCAGTGCTAGAAGGAAGTAGGGTTTGTGGAATTGAAGGGAAGGAGGAGGGGAGGAAGAAAGGAGGGGCAGGAAGTGGAAGAGACTATAGGTTCCTTGGTGCTTTCTGAGCTCCTCACCTGGTAGGTGAGCTCCTTGACGCGTCTCTCAAACTTGCGCATCCCTTTGACGTTCTCTGCGCTGCGTTTCTGCTCCCCTTCCAGCTCGTTCTCCAGCTCTCGCACTCGGGCCTCCAGTTTCTGAAGCTGCTTCTTGCCGCCCTTGAGGGCCAGCTGCTCCGCTTCGTCCAGACGCATTTGGAGGTCCTTGATGGTCTGCTCCATGTTCTTCTTCATCCTCTCCAGGTGGGCGCTGGTGTCCTGCTCCTTCTTCAGCTCCTCCGCCATCATGGCCGCCTGCCCCGTTCAAGAGGACGAGAGAGAAAGATGTCCGCCAGGCTTCACTCTTTGCATTAATTGGGAAATTAGTCCTAAACTTGCAGGCTAACTATTCACGTCAATATTACGAGTCCTCTTTGGATGCTCCTCGTGGATCAAAGCAAAGAAGGACCTGGAGATGTGTCTCCTTTTAGATCAGGGGTCTCCAAAGTTTAAGACTTGTAGACTTCAACTCCCAGAATTCCCCAGCCAGGCATGGAAGTACCCAGAACTGAAGTCCATAAGTCCACAAGTTGTCAAGTTTGGAGACCCCCTGATTTAAGAAGAAAGAATCAAATGGTCATTATGGACCATTCGTGGTCAACCTCCGTCCATGATCTCACTTTCACGTACATCTGTGATAGCTTTCTTGGCCTTCTCCTCAGCGTTCCTGCACTCCTGCACAGCTTCTTCCACTTCTGATTGAAGCTGGGTCAGGTCAACCTCCATCTTCTTCTTTTGATTGATGAGGCTGGTGTTCTGGAGAAAAGGGGCAATCAAATTAGTGAGTCAAGCCACAATAGGAGAAATGAAAGATCAACTGACAGGTCTGAATGGTTGGTGTCTTCATGTAGCATGGAACCTATGAAGGTCAAAGATGGCGTAAAACCATCCAGAGCCTACTTTATTCTCTCAATCTACGTCCAGAACCTATTTTTTCCCCTCAGAATCTACATCCATAACTTATTTTATCTCCTCAGAACCTACATCCAGAACCTATTTTATTCCCTCAGAACATTCAGAACCTTATTCCCTCAGAATTTACATCCAGAACCTACTTTATTCCCTCAACCTTCATCTAGAACCTATTTCATCTCTTCAGAACCTACATCCGGAACCTATTTTATTCCCTCAGAATTTACATCCAGAACCTACTTTATTCCCCCAACCTTCATCTAGAACCTATTTCATCTCCTCACAACCTACATCCGGAACCTATTTTATTCCCTCAGAATTTACATCCGGAACCTGTTTTATTCCCTCAGAACCTACATCCAGAATCTACTATATTCTTTCAACCTTCTTCTACAACCTACTTTATTCCCTCAGAACCTACATCCCAAACCTACTGTATCTTCTCAATCTTCATCCAGAACATATTTTATTTCCTCAGAATCTACATCCGGAACCTATATTATCCTCTCAGATCCTACGTCCAGAATCTATTTTATTCCCTTAGAACCAGAACCTACTTTATTCTCTTAATCTTCATCCAGAAACTATTTTTGGAATTCTGGAAGTTGAAGTCCACTCATCTTAAAGTTGCCACGGTTGAGGAACATAGCCGATGCGAGTCTTTTTCTAAAACTTCCACCCTTCAGCACCTATAGTTGTCTGAACAGGCTCTGGATAGCTTCTCCAAGCTTATCTCTGTGGTTCCACTGAACCAAATTCAAAGAAACATGGAGAAGGATCAGCTGACTTCTCCTCACCTGCGAATGGAGGAGCTGGACTCTCTCACTGGCCTCCGTCAGTTCCTGTTCTGCCAGTTTCCGCCCACGCTCTGTCTGCTCCAATACACTACGTAGCTCTTCCAGCTCAGCCTGCAGCAGCGTATTCCGCCGTTCCACGATGGCGATGTTCTCCTTCAGGTCCTCGTTGGCTCGAAGGGCATCATCCAGCTGGATCTGATTGTCCTGGATCACCAAAAACACACAGCATGGAGCAAACCTATCGACCCCGAAAACTAGGGATGAGTGAGAAAGATCTGAAGGGTTCCATATCTCCTTACCTTGAGGTGGGCATGAGCGATCTTGAGGTGCTTCTGAACTTCAGCGGCCACCCGATTCGCTTGGCTGAGCTGGATCTCCATGTCGTTGAGGTCGCCCTCCATCTTCTTCTTGATCCTCAGGGCCTCGTTGCGGCTGCGGGTCTCGGCATCCAGAGAAGCTTGGAGCGAATCCACCATCCTCAGGTGATTCCGCTTGGCCTGCTCCATCTCCTCATCCTTCTCGGTCAGCTTGCGTTCGATTTCGGCCTTGATCTGGTTGAACTCCAGCTGAGCTCGGAGGATCTTGCCTTCCTCGTGTTCCAGAGAGGCCTGAGGAATCAAGGAATTACGGGAATCAATCAATCAATCTTTATTACGCTCAACAGGTCAGCAAAGAATTATGGGTAAAATGGTGAAGGAAAAAGTAAAAAAAAGAATAGTATTGAGATCTAGAAGCCTTCTTAGTTCTAGATTGCTTTTTCAAGGAGACAATCAATCTAGAACTAAGGAGAAATTTCCTGACAGCTGGAACAATTAACCAGTGGAATGACTTGTTTCCAGAAGCTGTGGTATTCCAAAATCCAAGGTTTTTGAAGGGATTGGACAACCATTTAGTATAGATTCTCCTGCTTGAGCAAGGGGTTGGACTAGAAGACCTCTAAGGTCCTTTCATAAAGCATTGACCCGTTAGAAAAAAAGTGACTCTAAAAATCACCTCAAATTAGAGTCGCTTTCTTTCTAACGGGCCAAGGCTTTATGAGTTAGCAGCTTCCTTCCTTGTCCTTTTTTTTCTAAAATTCCACTTATTTTTTTTAATGGAATCTGGGCTGTGGAATCAATGTGATATCTGCAAGGTTTTTTTTTTTACACAATCTGGATTTGCAGTGTTGTTTTCTTTTAAAAGGCAATAGAAACAGAAAATCTTATAGGGATAGCACTGTGAAAATTCTTAGTTCTCCTGTGCCTTTAATTAAATTATTCCAGATTTTGCTGTTCTCTTTAGCTCTTTTGTGCCTTTAATTAAATGCTTCCTGTTCCAGATTCTGTTTATCTCTCTTGTGCTTTTAATTAAATGCTTCCTATTCCAGATTCTGCTCTGTTTTCTTTAGCTATTTTGTGCCTTTAATTAAATGTTTCCTGTTCCAGATTCTGTCCTGTTCTCTTTAGCTCTTTTGTGCCTTTCATTAAATGCCCCCTGTGCCAGAATATTGCCTCTCTTTGAGAATAGGTGAAATCAGTGAGTAAAGCACCTTGTCTCCCTCACCACCTGGGAAGGGACTCTTACTGCTTCAGATGCTTTAAATTGCTTTTATAGTGAAATAGGAGAGACATAAGAGAGGGGAAAATGTGATGTTTTAAAGGAAGGTAAGCAAGGCGCCTCACCTCTGCCTCCTCCAGAGCGGCCTGTAAGTCCACTTTTTCAGACTCCAGCTGCTTCCTCACTTTTTCCAGCTCATGCATACTTTTGGCCCCTTGGCTCAGCTGTTCGGTGAGATCCGAAATCTCCTCTGTGGATAAAGAAGAAGAAAGAGATTTGGGCCACGCTCTGAGGAGGAGGAGGAGGAGGAGGAGGAGAGGGAAGGGATATCGCTCAACATCTGGCACCACCACGCAAGGAGGCTTTGAGGAGCCACCTCTGCCCGTCCTCCTGCCCACCCAATTCAACCCACCTTGCAAGTTCTTGTTCTCTCTTCTTAAGGTCTCCAGGAGTTCCAGGGACTCCTCATAGGCGTTCTTTAGCTTGAAGAGCTCGGTGCTGAGGGAACGGGACTCTTTCTGGGACGCCTCTAGTTCTGCCTGAGATTCTTCGTTCTTCTGCTTCCATTCGGAGAGGATCTGAGGCGGAAGAGGAGGAGGGAGGCAAAAGAGTCGGGTTTCTTCTTTTTCTTTTATCCTATTTCCTTCTCCTCCTCCTCCTTCTCCATCTCCTCCTTCTCCTTCATTTCTCCTTCCTCCTCTTCCTTCTCCCCTTCCCCTTTCACCCTTCTCCTCCTCTCCCCTTTCTCTTTCCCCTTCTCTTTCCCTCCTCCCTCTCCCCTTCTCCTCCCCTCCCCTTCTTTTTCCTTTTTCTCCTTCTCCTTTTCCGCTCCTCCCCTTCTCCTTTCATCCTCCTCCTCCTCTTCCCTTTCTCTTTCCCCTTCTTTCCCTCCTCCCTTTTCGTTCCCTTCTCCTCTTCCACTTACCCTCATTTGTCCTCTCCTCCTCCTCCTTTCCTTCTTTCCTCCTCTTTCTCTTTTCCTTTCCCCTCCCCCTCCTCCCCTTCCACTTCCCCTCCTCTTTCTCCTCTTTTCCTCCTCCTCCATCCTCCTCCTCTTCCGTTTCCCTTTCCTTTCCTTTCCCTCTTCCCCCCCCAATACAGGCAGTCCCGACAGCTATTTCTGTTGATAAACAATGTAGTCTGACATGTGACTGCATTGCTTAGCGACAGCAATCCCTGAAGTCCTGCTTGTCATTGTTAACTGAATCCCACAGTTATTAGGCAAGGCAATTTCCTGGTGGCTTCCCACAACCAAAGTCACTGGGGAAGCCAGAAGGAACTACCAAGTCCCAGACACGCAGGCAAGTGAATGCTTCCAACTGAACTGAAGCAGTGTCCTCTATGGGACCCGAGACGGATGGTCTCTGTGAACCTCACCTTATCGAAGTTCCTTTGCTTCTTGTCCAGGGCAGCTGCAGCCGCGTTCGAGCGCTCCACATCCACCATCAGATCTTCAATCTCGTTCTGCAGGCGGTGTTTGGTCTTTTCCAGCGATGAACACTTGGCGTTCACCGCCTCCACGGCTTCCTCCGCCTCCTGCAGCCGCTGGGCCAGCTTCTTCCTGTCACATGAGGACAACCAAGAGAAGGTTTACCTGTGGAGGAGGCCTTCTCCTTCCCACAGCTGATGGGGAAAGCAAGTCCCCCGTTCTTCTCTGGACGAAGAACACCACGAGTGGCCAGCCGAATCCAACTGATCATCTCATGCTCTGCGATAGATTTGTAAATAAGGTGGACATCACAAATTTGGAGTCTGGAAGATATATAGTCCTCCCTTGCTCGTTTTGGCCCCGTAGGACAAAGATAAGTTTTTGGTCCTCAAAACCAGGACATCCCACCAGCAAAACCATCCCTACTCACCTACCTTGGTGTTTTTAAGTGGGGAAATCTCCTCCAACCAACAAGCTTTTTGCTCGTCTTATACACTGTTGAGGTCAAATATAACCCGAGCCAAAAGCTTCTTCATTAGAGGAAGCACCGGTGAAAAGAGATGCCCGGGGTCTTGAGGGGAGGTGTTCTGACCCAGCTCCCAGAACACGACAAACCCTCTGATGTGAATTTAAAAGATTCCTTTAATTCAGAGTGCCGGCAGCCCCGGTAAAAAGTTTCTCTCGCAGGCTAACAAGTCCGTCCGTCCGGAAGATGAATAGTTATCTGCCACATCTATTCATCTCCGCCCCCTGCCTTTTACCCCCAGAGCTAGGGTGGGGTCTCACTAGTAGCGGTGGCTCTTCCGTCCCAAGGACCGGCCCATAGATTTCCACTGCTCTCTTCTCCTCTGCCTTCTGCTCATCCGTGCGTCAGGCACTGGATCCAGCTGTTCCTCCTCTTCCTCATTAGCCACTTCCAGACATGTTGACTCTCCATCTGAGGGTTGATGGATGGCCCAGGCTCCACCCCCTCCCTCCCTCCCTCCCTCCCCTCCTCCCCCCTCTCTCTCTGCCAGGTCTATTCCCTCTTCCCCCTTGGAGCATCTCAGGTTGTCCTGATGCTAACCCTGACTCCCACACCTCCTCTTCCTCCCGCTCCTCTGATTCAGTTGTTGGAGGGGCCAGAAGCCAACAGGCCGCAACAGGAGGGGTGGAGAAGACACAGGAAGGGAGGAGGGAGGACAAACGCATATATGGGGCACATGTTTATGAGGCACAAAGATATGGAGGCCAGAAGTTATGAACGGTTCCCAAACGAGGGTTTCAAGACTCCGACGTCCTTCCTCAGTAGCTCAATCTCATCCTGGAGAGGTTGTCAAAACACACAGTAGTCCAGGTAGAAAATATTGCCATCTATAAGCCCTTCCAAAATCAATTTTGGATACAGGTAGTCCTTGACTTACAACTGTTCATTTAATGACCATTCGAAGTGATGACTTTGTTGAAAAAAAAAAAAAAAAAAGACCGACAAACTCGTCTTCACACTTACAACTGTCAGAGTCCCTGAGATCCCAGGATCAAATTTCGGGTGCTTGGCGACTGGCATGTATATAGGACAGTGGTACTGTCCCAACGTGTTCTGATCCAACCCTGTTACCAGCAAGAAAATCTCAAACAAACGCAGCAACTCAAACCTTCATAGCTTTAATCTATAGATAACTTCTTTGTAGGTAAAAGATGGCTTGAAGCCAATTAGTCCAACCAGAAAAGCCTTGACAGAATTCTTCAGATAATCCAGAGTCTCTACACATAATGCTGAGTCCTCAGAACGTTTTTGCTTTCTGCAAAAGCAAAAACCTTTTGAAACCAGGCTTATATTCCCTGGAGGGAGCGGCCATTACATTGTATCCTTACTCCTGAATTGCCTGTGCTGCTCCAGCTGCTCTCTTCTACAAATCATCCTGAGCTCACACACACTTGGCACAGGCTCCTCAGGAACCTCCTCCTCACTGCTACCAGCTCCCACAATCCCTGAAGGCAACAGTCCACTCCCTGATGGTCCCAGCCCCTCATCCGAGTCCTCGCTCTCCTCCACCGTCCACACCACAACACGAGGTCACATGATCACCATTTGTAACTTTCCCAGCTGGCTTTGGACATAAGCAAAGTCAACAAGGGAAGCTGGATTCACTTAACGACATGACCAACCACCACAGCAAAAGTGGCCATAAAATTGAGCACAACTCCCTTAAGCAGTGGTATCTTCAAGCATGAACACCACGTCGAAAGTCATGCTTGTTGGTGATCCAAGGTGGCCATCTACCTTGCCCATCCTGAAGGTTAAAATATGGCCTCTTGAATTCATCTCCCTCACTTACTTGGCGTCCTCCAGCTCCTCCGTTCTCTGGATGGCGTCCGTTTCATACTTGGTTCTCCACTGGGCCACCTCCGAGTTGGCCTTGGAGAGGACACGCTGGAGCTCAGCTTTGGCCTCCATCTCTTCCTCATACTGTTCCCTCAGAAGGTCGCAGTCGTGGCGGGACGACTGCAAAGCGTGCGCTAGAGCATTTTTGGCCTACGTCAGCGAGGAACACGTGTCAGTTTGGAGGAGGCCCATCACACCTCCTACCTCCATCTCAAAAACCCAGACCCACATTTCCCGAGTGATGTTTCTTCACCTTGGTCTCCTCTTCCAGTTGTCTCTTGAGATCCTCCATCTGTTGCGTGTAGGATTGTTTCCCGCGGGTCAGCTGGGAAACAAGGGCCTCTTTCTCTTCAAGCTGTCGGGCGAGTTCTCCTGAGGGCGGGAAAGGAGGAAAGGTGGTTGCCAGGAGCCACATGAGATAGAAGTTTCTTCTTGGGTGGACCTCATAAAGAGGTGTAGAAAAACAAGAGGGAGACACAAAGAGGCAGCTGGATTGTCTTTATTTTTCCTTGAAGACCTTTTTCTTCTGATCCAAGAAGCTTCTTCAGTGCTGACTGAATGGTGGAGAACGGTAGGATTTATATTCCTTGCAGTCATCTGGTCATTAGTATTCCCTCTGAGAATCATTGAGGCCACTTGGAGATTTATCGGTGCCCTCAGGGTCTCCAGAGTAGTGCAAATGGATAGTAAATGTTTACAATACACTCCTTTCAGCAGTTCCAAGAAAGTTCCACACCCATTTGCACTATTCAGGAGGCCCTAAAGGCACAGATAAACCTCCAAGTGGCCTCAATGACTCTCAGAGGGAATACTAATGACCAGATGATTGCAAACGAATATAAATCCTTCCATCCTCCACCATTCAGTCAGAACTGAAGAAGCTTCTTGGATGAGAAGTGAAAGATCTTCAAGGAAAAAGAAAGCCCAGTTGTCTTTTGGAGAACTACCTTTGGGACAACCATGACCTGGACGAAGGAGAACCAACAAAGACAACAAGAGGGAGAAATATGGTAGCCGGTACCATTTTCGGTGAGCAGTTTCGCTCGCTGGGTGTTTGTGTCATTCAGGATCCGTTGAGTCTCCTCCAACTTGGCGCGGTGATCTGTAGACTGGTCCTCGATGGTACGGCACATCTTCTCCAAATTTGCCTGCCAGGAAATAGAAGAATTAAACCCGACGAAAGCCTGGCAGAAGCTAGAGCACGTCCTCCAACAAAGCCACATGGTGGTTAACTTCACTTGAAAGGACCTTCAACCACTGGAACAAGCTGGTTTTGGGGATCTCAGGGTGAGTTGTAGAGTTTCCCTGTGCAGGATACCAAACCTATGGCTTGTGAGGTGGTCCTACGTGAGGGACATCTTACTAATCCTATATCAGTTGATGGTAGTAGCATCTATGACATTTAAGGTCCTGAAGCCAGTCTGGGAGAAGGTGCCCAGCTTGGCTTCTAGTAGTTATTTTCCTTACTAATAGCAGAGAAGAGAATATTCGTAGCTCAGAGATCAACTGTGAGTTGTAGATGTTTCATGACTAAACTAGAGAACATCATCAGTGCTAGAAGGGGTTTGTGGAGAGGAGGAGGAGGAGGAGGAGGAGGAGGAGGAGGAGGAGGAGGAAAAGGACAACCGTGGGATACTTGGTTGTTTTCTTGTCAATATTTCATAACCCATGTAGAGTGGTGTGGTGGCCTAGAGATTGAGCTCTTGCCTCACAATCCAGGAGGCTGTGAGTTCAATCCTGGGTAGAGGCAGATATTTCTCTCTCTGGACACAATGAGAATATATCTGCTGGGAAAAAAACCTCCGCATTGGTGACAGAAAGGGCATCCGGCCTTAGCTCCATTCAGTGTCCCAGACTCTACCCCGCAAAGGATCATGGGGTCATTAAAAGAGGATGGTGATAATATCATGACCCAACTAGGCGACATCATCAGTGCTAGAAAGGAGTGGGGTTTTGGGAGAGGAGGAAGAGAAAGACAACTGTTTTGGGGGGTCGCTGAGCTGGGTTGCTTGCTTGCCGACATTTCATAATACAACTAGGGAACATCATCAGTGCTATATTGATGACTGATGATGTTCCCTAGTCTTCAAGAAAACAACCCAGCTCAGAGAGCACCAGGGACCCCAGATTTTCCTCCCAGCGTCTACCTGTAGACCCTGTCACACCCATCTACCCAAGAATGAGTTTGTGTTATCCACACCCCACTTGGCCGGCATTGGGACCCTCCCCTCTACTGACACAACACCTTGGCCTTCAGAATCTGCTCCATATTGGAGGCCACGTCGTCGAGTTCTAGCTTCAGCTCGCTCTTCTCCTTCTCCAGCTTCTGTTTCACCCGCTGCAGGTTGTCGATCTGCTCGCCCAGCTCCGCCACGGAATCCGCGTGCTTCTTGCGCAAGGTGGCCGCCGTGGCCTCGTGCTGCAGCGTGGCCTCTTCCAAGTCGCGTCGCATCTTCTGGAACTCGGCCTCGCGCTTCTTGTTCAGCTCGATCTGCACCGAGTTGGCTCCTCCGGCCTCCTCCAGGCGCTCGCTGATCTCTTCCAGTTCTCGTGAAAGGTCCGAGCGCTGTTTCTCCACCTTGGCACGAGCCGCGCGTTCCGCCTCCATCTCCTCTTCCAGCTCCTCGATCCGTGCCTGAACAGTGGGAAAAAGATAAATCGCTAGATTCTTCAATCTTCTAGATCAGGGCTCCCCAGCCCACCCACCCCCGAGCTGCAGACCAATACCGGTCCGTGGCCTGTTAGGAACCGGTAGACGCAGGTGAAGGTGAGTGCCAGGTGAGCAAGCGGGGCTAACAGCTTCATCTGTGCATGCACAGGGTCTAGTTTGCATGCAAAACCATCCACCACCCCAGTGGTGAGATTCAATTTTTTTTACTACTGGTTCTGAGGGTGTGGTCAGGTGGGTGTGACCAGGTGGTCACGTGATTAGGTGGGTGTGGCTATGCGGTGGTTTTTCCTCCACATAGATTTCTTGCTTTCTAACTAATCTTTTTTTAAAAAAAAAACAAATTTTATTGATTTTACAATTAAAACAGACCAACAACACATACATAAATGTAACAGAGAAAAAGAAAAGAAGAAAGGAAGAAGAAAATAGAAAGAAAAAGATAGAAAACAATCAAAAACATTTTCATATTCAACAGTTTGTGAGACCTCCTTTTTATCCTTATTTTATGCCATATACACGGTTAATCCTTACATATATCCGTATATCGCTACTACGGTTCTATCCTATCCTCTTTTGCCTTTTAGTGTGAAGTCTATCTTTGGTCTATCCATTTGTACCAGCAGTTCCAGCTGTTGTAGTATGTTGAAGTGTCTTTATTTTTTAACGCCAAGGTTAATTTGTCCATTTCTGCACAACTTGAAATTTTTTGAATGATCATCTCCTCTGATGGAACATGAGGCTGCTTCCAACATTGTACAAAAGCCAATAGCTGCTATCAAAATATCTACTATTATATATTTCACTTTTTTGGTATATACTTTCCCTAATAGAAAGGACTCTGGTTTGAATTCGATATGTTCTCTTGTCATTTCCTCCAGCCAATTTCTGATTTTCTGCCAATATTTTTGAACTTCTGTACACAACCACACTTTCTAGCTAATCTAAATCGCGCAGCACAACTGATCATTGGAAATACTGGTTCGGGAGAACCAGTAGCATTTTTTACTACCGGTTCACCTGAACCGGGTCAAACCGGTAGAATACCACCACTGCACCACCCCCTATCCTTGATAACAGACCCTGTGCATAATCTTGGGGTTCTCCTGAACTCATGACTCCTGCTCGAAGAGCAGGTGGCGGTCGTGGCCAGAAGGGCCTTTGCACAACTGTAGGTTGTACGCTAGTTACGCCCTTTCCTGGACCAGCAATCCCTACTCACGGTCACTCATGCCCTAGTCCAGGGGTGTCAAACTCACATCGTCGTCATATGACATATTGTGACTTTTTCGCCTTCGCTAAACCGGGGGTGAGTGTGGTCAATGCGTATAGCGTATCTGGCCCACGAGCCGCGAGTTTATCACCCCTGCCCTAGTCATTTCCTGCCTTGACTATTGCAACGTGCTCTACCTAGGGCTGCTCCAGTCGGTGCAAAAATGCAGCGGTCCGTGTGGTTTTGTGCAGATCTTGGTGTGTCCACAGGTATCCCCTGTGGGAGTTGCATTTATTGCCGATTTGCTTTAAGGTGCAATTCAAGGTGATGGTTGTCACCTTCATGGTTTTGGACTAGGTTATCTGAAGGACCATCTCTTGCCGGTCATATCTACCCAACCCACCAAGGAGGCAAGGAATGTTGTGAGTCCCATTCCCTAGGCCTAGAGAGATATACCTGGTGGGACCCAGAAGAAGGACCTTCTCTGTGGTGGCTCCCTCTCTCTGGAACATTAAACTGGCCCTTATTCTTCCGGAAAGCGCTGGAGACCTAGTTATGCCAGATGGCCTGAGAAACCTAAAGTGGGTTGGAGCCCATTAAATGGCTCGTGTGATGTGGTGTCACCAGGGTGGAGGGTTATTATATATGTTATTAATTTATTCTTTGACTATGCTCTTTTATTGGTTTCATTTTTTTATATACGATGTTTTTATATTGAGATTATATTTGCTGGATATGACTCCGCACTGGTGACAAGAAAGGCATCCGGCCAGTAATCGCTCAGCTCCATTCAGTCGCCCAGATTCTTCCCTGCAAGGGATTCTGGAGTCATTAAAAGATGATGAAGATGGTTTTTTTTTATATTCCTGTAAGCTTCCTTGAATATGTGAATAGGCGGCAATATAATTTTTATTAATAAATAAATAAGCTTCACTTCCTGTGATTTAGGAAGGGGCAAAACAGATGGATGGTGCAGAATTTGGGGGAATTTCTCCCTTTCTCTGACCGGAGCATCAAGCAAAAAGTGTTTTTACCTGGAGCTCCTTGAGTTTCTTCTGCAGCTGTGAGGCCAGAGCTTGTTCGTCTTCAATCCTGCTGTTCTGCTGGTTGATATCAAACTCTTTCCTGCCAAAGAGAATTCCGGAAAGTAAAACCCTTCTCCGTAAAATATGGGGAGTCCTCGTCTTATAACAAGCAGTTCATTTAGCGACCAGTACCACGGCACTGAAAAAAGTGACAATTTCTCAGACTTACAACCTTTGCAGCATCCCTGTTGTCTCACCCGTGGTTGAAACTCAGTCGCTTGGCCACAGACTCATACTTACGATGGTTGTGGCGTCCCAGGGGGTTAGCTGGTCCCCTTTTTGTGACCAATGGGGAAGCCAAATTCACGTAACAACCGGGTGATTCGTTTAACGGGGATTCGCTTAACCAATGTGGCAAGAAAGGTCATAAAAAGGTACAAATAATTCGCCTAAGAAATGTCCCGCATAGCAAGAGACATTCTGAGCTCAATTGTGGTCGTATGTTGAGGACTGTCTCTATCCATCCGATCCAAGGGTGTGGTTCAACTGGTGTAACAACCAGTTTAGTGAGCGTGCGTTTGCACCAAAAGTGCACTTTGCACATGCACAGAAGGTTTGCTACTGGCCTGATCCTGCAATCCTGCACTCTGTGTTAAACAGCTGACGCACGGCAATTCACTGTGCTGCCCGAAGCAGCTGAGCTTGAAAACCAGGAAATAAAGGTCAGAATAGAGGCGGGGCAGGTGGGCGGGCCCAGTAGCTGATCGTTGGAGCGAACCGGTTCGCTCATAGATGATCCTCGGAGCTACTGGTTCGACCGAACTGGGCCGGACTGGTAGAATACCACCCATGATCTGCAACTTCTTCAGCTCTGCTCTGTTGCCCAAGTGTCACAGAGTGTCCAGCTTCTCAACCCACCTGGCAGTCTCCACTATGCAAGTAATCCTTGACTTACGGCCATTAGTTTAGCAGGTGTTTCGAGTTACGACGGCACTGGAAAAAAGTGACTTACAACAGGTCCTGGCTCATGATCATTACAACGTCCCTGAGTTCGCAATTATCTGGCCTCCAGCAAGCAAAGTTAATGGGAAAAGCTGCATTTGCTTAACAACTGTGAGATTCCCTTAACAACGCGCCAGCAAAAAAGGTACTATTCTCCGCAGCGTGGTTAAATGGACTCTTTTATCTAAAGAAGAGAATAAATTTCATTTTGTTTCTATTGGGAAATGCCTTCCTGATTTGGGGCATGCGATGGGAAAAAAAAAAGAAATAAAAAATTTGTTTTTGCTGTTTAGATAAGTTTGTTGCTATAGAAATGGCTAGTATATACTGTTGTATAAAAGTAAAAAGTTGAAGTTGTGATGTTATCTTTTACTGTACTAAAGAGGGAAGTCGATGCCTTTTTCTTACCTTTTCCTTCTTTACACCATATTTTCTCTTTCCTTCCTTCCTTCCTTCCTTCCTTCCTTCCTTCCTTCCTTCCTTCCTTCCTTCCTTCCCTACCTTCCTTTCTCTCTCTTTCTTTCTTTTCTTCTTTTCTCTTCTTTCTTTCTTTCTTTCTTTCTTTCTTTCTTTCTTTCTTTCTTTCTTTCTTTCTTTCTTTCTTTCCTTCCTTCCTTCCTTCCTTCCTTTCTCTCTCTTTCCTTCCTTCCTTTCTCTCTTTCTTTCTTTCCTTCCTTTTTCTTTTTTTCTTTCCTTCCTTTCTCTCTCTCTTTCCTTTCTTTCTCTCTCTTTCCTTCCTTCCTTCCTCCTCCCCCCAGTTTTCTGATTTTTTAAAAAATTTCTCTTTACATTTTATATTTTCATAAACTAATAAAAATGTATATTAAAAAACCAGCCACAGCAAAAAGGTTGTAAAATCAGGCACAGTCATGGGATGCCTCACTTAATGACCACATTGCTTAACAACTGAACTTCCAGGTTCTTTTGTGGTCGTAAGTCAAGGACTACCTAAACTTCTGGACTCTATCTGTATTTCCCCCCCCCCCCATAAAACTGGGCTACAGAGCTCTATAAACTGGGATTTCTGGATTCCAGGAACAATTAAGTCATTCTCCAGTTTGGACAAGGAAGCAAATGCCTTCCCAACCAGTTAAGGATGACCCAAATTCTGGTGGAATGATGAGAACACTTTTATTTTCATCCTTATTTTGGAGAAAAATATGAAAGCTTTTGCGCTTGGTAATTTTTGTGTGTGCGGGGGGACTCCCTGAGACTCTTGACTGGAGAACCCAAAAGTACAGAGCTGGCTCTTCCTTACTTTTTAATTTTCTCTTCCAGCTGTTGTTTGTCGTTCTCCAAGTCCATGATGTTCTCCTGTGCCAACTTTAAGTCTCCTTCAAGTTTTCTTTTGGACCGTTCGAGATCCATCCGGATTTTCCTCTCCTGTTCCAGAGAACCTTCCAGCTGTTGAGGGGAAGAGAGAGAAGAGAGGAGAGGGAGAGAGAGGAGGGAAGGGAGGCAGTGAGGGAGGGTGGGGGAAAGGAGGGAAGGAAGAAAGAAAGAAGGAAGAAAGGAGGGAGGGAGGGAGGGAGGAAAGAAAGAAAGAAAGAAAGAAAGAAAGAAAGAAAGAAAGAAAGAA